CCAAAATCGATAGTTAGATAGTTTGAGTGATATGGCCAAAAACTGATCAACACTGGTGCACATATTGGCGTTTTCCTTTTTTTTTACGGGTCTGTATAACTGTTAATACTTTTGAGACTATATTAAAGCCTAGATAAACTTGAGTGGTAACTATTCTTAAATGTTGTATTCAACAAATAAAATCTCAATTTTTCATAACAGTGGTAAATGAGTTGTTAAAACAGATTTAAAGATTCATAAACTGAGTCTGTATTTCGTGCCAAAGAAATGTGTCTATATCGCACTACCATACAGAGGGGAATCTTATAGCGTAATTCTGAAACGAAGACTAAGTTCTACTATTAGCAAAACATACTATGCAGCTAGGCTCATCGCAGTAGAGATAACCAAACATAAGTTGCAGCACGTTTGCGTCGCATCTCATTGGGTGTACCAGTACGCATATGTGCGTAGAGATATGCGCTTGAGGGTGAGGAAACATGTACCAAAATGGCTGCAAAAGCAGTCGCATTCAGAAAAGTCGATAAGCGCAGGTAGCAAACAACCGTTATCGTCCATTGCGAAACATATTACTGATAAGTCACAAAATTGATATTAAAACAGCTTTTACAATCTAGTATACAAACCGTCAGGGGAGTATACCTAGGTTTGTTGAAGAGCTAACCTTACACAAATTTAAGTTCCTGTCTTGTATTCAAAAACAGTTTGTCTTTATGACAAACCTACCCTGGCAGTGTCTACCTCATCGTCCTACTAGGGTTATCTTCGAGACCTATAATTTTCTCTCCATTACCTCGGTATTATTAATTTCTTTATTGTCATATTTACCCGTCCCCTACTACCAGTTTCCATGTAAAATGCCTTAACAAATGTGTGATCAGATTGTCCGAAATATATACCCAAAATATATCACATTTCTTTCACATAATCTACGTCTTCTAATTACATTGTCTAAGATATAAATGTAACTTGCACACATTAAAAAAAAATACAAATTTGAGTATTATATCTTGAATCGACTATGAAAGTAACTCTTACATAACTCTGATGTAAGAAGTTGAAAAGAACTCCGTGTTTCACTTTCCCCCAACGTTCACTCCTAAATAGTATCTGAGAACTACATTCGACAATCTATTAACAACAAGCCTACAGCAGATGAGTAATTGGCTGATTTTCAAAGTTAGGTACCTTTATCTTAAACAAATATTTCATAAATTCTTTCTTTGACAATTAAAAAGGTGTACATATCGATGAAAGTATAATGTAGTAACCGAAAATCTCTCAGGAAATTCTACTTCAAAATGACTATGCAAAAACACTTAAAACCAAAAGCTTAATGAAGCACCTCATAGAATGTTCCATCTAGATCCCAAGATAACATTATTAAACTTTGAATTCAAAGGTGATACAGTCTGAACCTTCTGTGTTGCAATTTGTCTTTTTTCCAAGAAGCTGATTTATCGATGCTCAATACAGTATGCAACATAGATGTGTTTTTATCAGTCTAATTTTTTAAGTGGAACGAAATTAATCAGTATTTCACTAAACTTTGAGATAGCGTTGGTTCAGCAAACCGATATTACTTATAAGGGGACTACGATGAACAGAAAGTGACGCATTACGCATCTTCAGCTGTCCCCTGCCTGACGGTAGAGAGTGAAGTGACTGAGTATGTTGAACATTTCACTTATTTGAGAAGTCGGATTAGCGCTGGTGGGTCAGTGACCGATGAAATCTCTGCACAGATAGAAAAGGTCCGACTGGCTTCAGCTAACTTAAGCCATCTGTTGGGCCACCACAGGATGGGATTCCTTATTAAGGGTCGAGTGTACTGTGCTGTAGTCCGCTCTGTTCTACTGTATAGCGATGAAACATGGCCATCAAAGGTAGAAGTGATTAGAAGGATTCTGGTGTTTGACCACCATTGCTTTCGTAGCAGAGGCCATCTGTTGTGGTATCACCACGTGAGTAAGGCAGAAGTCAGGAGTAGAGTTCTAGGTGGAGAGAAAAGTCAATTCATAAGGTCGTGAATCTTTATCAATCATCGCACAATGTTGACTGAAGTAAATTCCGGCTGGAAAAAGGCTCGAGCAGCCAAATCTTTGACGATTGGTTTGAGTCATGTTGGGAGACGCACACTAGCCGGTTGGCGACTCTAGGTAATATGCTTCACTATCAATGTCAGTCGAGCAGATTTATCAACACTTTATCTTCAATTTAAACGCTACACTGAATTCAAAATTTTCTCATTCTTTCTTCCACGCTTTTATTGCTTCCTACTAATTTTGACCCATTTTTGTGTTCCCTCATCTTACCGCTTTATTACTTGTTCTGGTATGAGGTTTAGCAACTTGGACCGTTTTGTAGTGATGCCTGATCCAATTTCGGTATTGATTGATTGACGCATCGTGTATGCACATGGGAGCTAGACGAAATTCTCGGGGACTGAATTAAAGCTAAAACTTAGCTGCTGAGTGTTGTTGTTCATCTAGCATAGCCTTGGATCCGCAGTCCGGAGACAGCTAGTTCGGACCTTGGCACGACTCGATCATCCGTTTTCAGTATGGTACAGAGTAAGGCTACGATGCATACACCATTAGGAAGCTATTGATTAACTTGTGTCATTTTCGCTTTTTCTTGACCTATTGTATTTATGAATTCTTTTTTTTTCATTTTTAGTTTTCTTCAATGTACATCACAATACGATACGGTATAGGATGCAAAACACCATTAGTCTTTATGATAACCATTCAGCTGATCTTAAAGTTGCAGTTATAACTCAGATGTAATTAACCAAACAACTGATTTATTCTCATGAGCATACATCACTTGGCCAAATGATATTATTGTTTAATTATCGGCAGATCAATCCACTACGATGCTACTGTCACCTCATACAATCTACTATTACTGCAAAACAGTAGTACAATGCATTGGTACTTGGTAAAAAGTGAATATAAGACAATCTTCAAATTTAGCGTTACATATCTGTTGAAATCGGAACACAGTTTTTCTTGAAATATAGTTCAAAGTACACTGCAAATATCAGCCACACCATCCTAAAGCTTTATAAATGTTAGGGAACATATGTCATATCAGCGCTTACAGATTTCCTTCAAAGTAACATACTTTTTTGAAAGCCTGAACAATATACATGAATTATCATGACAACCGGAAGAGATTGGAGTCTCATATACATAAAAGTTGATGGTATTAAGTGACACTATATTTTCCTCTAGTGTTTAATTACTTGTAACTACCCGCTTTACCATTCACTCTCCTTATCACTACATTCTGTATGCCACTAGCAGATGTAGAGACAAGAAGTGATACAGATAATGATCTGTATGATCTGTGACAAAAATTAGTTAACTAAACTAGTGCTTTGAACATGTCAAACTGAGAAGCAATTGTACTTGCTCTTGTGTTGTATTTTATCCTATCTGGAGGTTTTTAGAGATTTATTAATTGGTTTTAGGTTTGAATTCATCATAAACTGACATCAGTTGGAGAAATGTTGGAAACCTGGGAGCAGTGGACAGCTGTTTCGTCCTAGTATGGAACTCTTCAGCAGTGCATACCAATGATCCTGCCAGGGCTCGAACTAGGGACCTTCAGGTTCTGTGGCCGGTGGCTCTATGGCACCTTGCTAGCCAGGTTTCCAATGTCCCTTGAATGTGTTTCAGTCCGTGATGAATATCAACCTGAAAGATAACTAAAATCCCACGACCCCCAAATAAAAATAGTTTTCCTAGTAACCCTTGAGTACCTATAAGTGCTTACCTAACCGCTAAAATGGAATACTTCGTTATGAGTTGATATGGTAAATAAATATCACGAATGCCATCCTTTTATTTCTAAAGTTTATAATACTTCTATTTGTTTTTAAATGAATGAAATCTTCGCTTCACGAAAGATCTAAAGTTGGAGTGCTTACTGCAAGAATATTCCAAGTATGTATCAGACTGGGTTAGACAGATTCAGCTTTATACAAGATGTACTAGTTTGCCCGGGATTCAAGGTACGTGTCGCTAATGACGTTTAAGTGAAAGAGGACTCAAATGCAAGGTTGAATGCTGATTGCATCCAAACATCTGATGTGCACAAAATTCGAAAGATGTGGAACCCTTCATCATCAAGTATTTTGAACACATAACTTTTAGTTCAGTATTCAAACTGAATCGAGTTCGTAGTCCATTAAGAGCTGACATTACTCAAATAGTAGATGAAAATCGGTAGAGCTGGATACTACTTTGCAAAGATGGATAGTGGCTAGCAGTGGAATTCGGTACGCGTGTTTCGTTCTACTTGGGACTCATCAGCTAGATGTGCCTGCTTCCAAGTGAGTGACATTGTTCCTAATAGGACTGGAACCCGGGACCGATCGCTTCAAATGCATTATAGGCACTTCGTAGTAGTTTAAGTCTCCGTCCACTGATGAATTTTACTTGTGAATCAAGAACCAAATGCTGCATCTTAAAAATTGGAATGTATTTAGTCCAATTTGTCGTAGCTGGTACAGAAACAGTTTTACGTATAGTGTTACGCAGTTATAAGGTGGTTATTAATTATTTCATTATTTTTAACTGACTATTTTCTATCCCATATACTGTTCAACGATATACCACCTCAGTAAATGGTTGTTTACTGAGTAATATGGGTGATTACTGAAAATAAGCAGGTTGGAAGTTGATCAACAGTTCCATCCTTCGATATTCAGTAGATCAGGCCTTAGGGACGGTCACTGTTAAATTAAATGGCTCAAGACTACCAAAGTCATGAGCTCCGTTCACCAATTGGGTTACCCAGCCCAATGAGCGGTGAACTAGACATCGTATCCTTAATTTCGCTCACACTGGAACCAACACATATGGTAGATGTGACACAGTCCTAGAGCAAATCATGAATATTCCTTGTTTACGAGTTTTTAACAGTTCAACTGCTGAAGTTAATCCATCATAAATAATATCTTTCAATTTGAAATGCAACTGAGTACTTACCAAACGCTCTCTCCTAGTTCGAATGCCTAACCGTCTCGCTTGCATAGAAGCGCGGAAACTAAATGAAAATAGGACAAAGAAAACAAAATAATAAGGTGGAGGGGCGCAATAACAGTGAGGGTGTCATCAGCTTAATTCTTATTCACTAAATATCTTGACATTTTTATCAACGGCAGTTTAGTAGTATCTGGTAGTGGTTAGCAGTGAGTTTTACAGATCAATCAAATAAACATAGTCAGCTTTACCATTTAACGTGGGTTAAATTTAAAGTTTCATAGGAAACTGCTTCAAAAACTCAGTGTGAATTTGAGTCTTAATGGCAGTACTCACTAGTGTCGAATTCGAAATGCAACTCAATAACAATATCTACTTTCTTGAAGTAAGCAATGAGCGATATCTGTTGTAAGAGGGGTGGTAATGGTAATACTTGGCTATCCAGACTTTGACAAGTTGAACGAATTTTGAACCAATAACCATGTGACTGAAAGAAAAGTGAATAAAAATAAGCTACAGTGTAGCGCCCACTGATGTACAGATATATTTAAACGATGAACTAGAAACCTAAATCCCAGTATATGCCTCCACTACCATCATTGTTAACATCATCTTCATACACTTCTACTATCAAGATAAAAAACCCTCGAAGGAAATAAAACGTCACAGTAATAAAATCATTTTGAATAATAAATAATCATAAAATGTAAATTCATAATTTTCTGCTAGAAAATTGTTAGAAACAGTTTTATGACTCTCACTGTCATAAATAAGCTTTAGAATAATGAAAAACGGAAAGATAAACAGTTTTTCTCTCACCTGGATTCGTACATGAAAAAAGTTGTAAATAAATTAGTGTTCCAAATACCACCACACTGATAAAAGAGAACATAAAATACTTCTGAATACATTCTATCAAGTAAAATTAGGCGTGTAAGTTGGATGAAGGTAATAGGCAGAAAGCCTTGGACCAAGGTTTCGTGTTATGGCACTCGTCAACAAGGTGTATCTGCGACTACTACGGAACGTGTCCCGTTTGATATTTGAATTCGCATCATCCAGTGCTGCAATGAGAGATGTTACCACTCAGCTATTCATGCAGCATCATACCTCCAGTAGGACTGACTAGATTACATAAACTGGTTGATAATTGCATGAAACCAACTTCATTTTGTCTAGTCGTAGTCTAGTGCTGGTCGAATTCCATCGATAGTTTTCCATTGTGGTCACCAGGTTAGGAGACTCATCATCGTGATACACCGAGAGAGATGTTAGTTAGTTGAAGGCAACCAGCAGGAAGCTCTGGATCTATCACGGCCTGAGAAGCTCAGTGGTAACGCCTCTAAATGCAGCACTGGATGATGCGAGTTCAAATACCAAACTGGACATCAGTTCCGTAGTAGTTGTAGATACACCTTGTTGACGAGTGCCAAGAACACGAAACCTTGGTTCAGTGCTTCCTGAAGATTGCTTCCATCCAACTAAGATCTGTCCCAGTGCATTGAAATGATGAGTCTCCTAGTCTGATGATCACTTCGCGAAATATTCTATACAATTCAATCAGCACATAGAACTAGACAACATGAAGTTGGTTACCCTCAAGTGACCAATCAATGTAAAAAATCAGACATATATAATCTCTTTAGATTAACAATTTTCAACAACCTTATGTAGAAAAACTGACAGATTTTGTGTTACTTACGATAAACAGCAATTAATTTTAGTTTCAGAGGGATTAAGAATTTCTTCTACGCATTATTTTCAAAAACAAGCGCTGACTGACAATGAAACTTCCAAACTAAATCAGAACTTAGTGATTACGTTGCGGAGATGCGGTTTTGACACTCAGTTAGTCGCCGACCATATAGTCGATGATTCAAATTTATTCTTTCTACTTAAGCTTGATTGAGAGGGTACTAGCACAGAGCGCAGCACACTATGTGTGACTCATTTCTTGATACAGAAACACTAAGCCGGCTTGGTAACTAAAATCTAATCACAATATATAAAATGACCAACATATTTTCGTCAACACTGATGAAAGAAATGATTATTGATACTTGTAATTTTCCGTTGTTATGCTGGATAGCACTGCTCACGAGATATCCGCATAGGAACTCATATGTCAACAGAGTTTAATCAATTTGATCCAGCATAGCAACCGCAAATCACAAGTATCGACAAATAATAATACTAACTAATACCCATCACACAAAAGGTGATTATTACGCGTCGGTGGCTTAGTGGATAACGCTTTGACACTTGAATCGATCAGTACGGGCTACGAGTCTCATTGAGATGCAGATACATCCGGCTGATGAGTCCCAAATAGGACGAAATGTGCGTCCTGGATTCCACTACTGGACACCACCAAGTCGATTATAATTGAGAAGAATAGCTGAAAAGTAAGTGCAACCCGTACGGTATTTGTATTGACACTTTATTTCAATCAAAACTAACACGATCACTTATTGTATTTGGATATGTGAGTAAGTATGACCGTATATTTGAATTAATGGCTAGTTTGAAACGTATGATAAAAAAGAGAGTACCAATGATCACCAGTGAGTTACTTTGCCACTTCTTCTGGGTTAACTAACTTGATTATGTGGACAGTATTTCTAATCATACTATGAGACTAATGTTTACTTAAAAGAAAATCTTAACAGATATTTCTACGTTTCAGTAAGAAAATACTGATAAGACCTTAAACTTAAAGGTGAATTTTCAGAGGTTTTAGGCCTTCAAACAGATAAGACATAGTGAAATTTCAATGAAGGGTTGTCAGCTTGACTGCTACTGCACTGTTCATCATACAGAGAACTTTGAACAAGGTTTGCAGAAGAGCCAGATGTCAAGAGTTTACGAGGTGTTCAACGATAGAAGTCTGGTTCCTCCAAAGTTATACCTAACCGATGAAAAAGGGGTGAGGATTAGACACTTTGACAATTCATAGCTTCAAACCTCAGTTGCGCATTCAAAAGAAACATGTACAAACATACCTTGGCCTTAATCACAAAATCTGCACCTCTATCTACGTTGTATTTTTGCATTTTGTTTATTTATTTATTTACATTTTTATTCATGTTTACTTATTTTATAATTCTATTGGCTTAATTAACCTTCCCATGTTTTATATAAACTATTCGATAAGTTCATGTGGGACCAGTCAGATTGTTCGAAATGTACAGCGCTAATACATCAAATGTCCTAGATAATCTTCGTCTTCCCATTACGCTATTCAAATTTTTCGATGGGACAAACTGTTCCAAGTTTTTGAAAAGACTACCCCAGGATCTTGTTAAAAGGTTAGATGAATTGGTCAGCCTGAAGTGTAAAATCGCATCTGAACGAGTGACGTTAGACATTTACAAATCTTACATTTCCAGTCATACATTCCCGAACGTTCTATTAAACTGCAAATTAGACTTGCTAAATCTTATGTGGAGAATTCTTATGCGAAACTTACTAAACTGACTGAACCTCATATGTATGCATCAACCGTACTGCCAAACATTTCTCTGATTTGTCACATCAAGTTCATTATTTTTTGTAGTTGTCATCACCAACTGTAAAGAATAGACCAGGAATGACTTAAACAAGTCTCAGACTATTGACTATGTAAATCCCTTTCCGTTTGATCCTGACAAATTCGTGACTAATTTATCTTCGGTTCAGTTATCTGTTCAACAGAAGGAGGCACTTTCACTTCGATTTAATTTTTCTGTTCCTCCAGAACAAATTTCTCATCTAGTGAACGATGACCAGTTTAAAAATCTTTATGATCAGCTAAGCTCACTTGTTCTAAATTCTCCAGGTAATCAGAGTTGGCTCAAAGCTTCGTGAGTGGATATTGCTCACCAATTCCACAATCCGCATCTGAGACACGGAAGTATCTTAACACCTCAGCATTTCAAAGCACTAAAACATTGCGAAATGATCTTGATATTATCATGATTAAGCTCGTCAAAGGATCAAGAGTTGTCATCGTGAATAAGTCGGATCATATATGTTAAATGTTATTCATCTTCAGCGATAAAAGCAAATTTATGGTAGACACTTCCGCTCAGGAAATACGTAAACTGGAAAGAAGAGTAAATTCTATCCTACTAAAACTGTTCAACATGAATGCTATTAACAAAGAGGATTTTAACTACCTGAAACCTATGGGGTCTGAGTATCCACACCTATACGGACTTCGGAAGACACATAAAGCCAGTAATCCACTGCGTCCAATATTATCTATGTGTCGGTCACTCACACATAAACTAGCAAAGTGGCTGGCAAAACTCCTGGATCCTATTGGAAGCCAGGTTCGCAAGTTCTCCTTGATGTTTCTATGTATAGTCCTTTAGGTCCCCTGCCGGCTGATATGTATATGTCATACGTCGAAGAGTTAGGCGAAGAACTGATTGGAAAAGCTTGGTTTTATAAGAGAAGTGTACATGACATTTCTGTTATTCGTGGAAGTGAAGAGGCAATGTGCTTATGAGATAAAATGAATAGCCAAACCTAAGAAGAAGAAGAAGTGGGTGACAAACTACCATTTTTATACATACTGATTAGTCGAAGAAAGGATGGGTCAATCATAAAGTCTATCCACAGGTAGCTAACTTGGACGGGACAATACCTTAGCTGCCATAGTTACTGTCCAGACCAATTCAAGCGTGAATTAAGTGTTTGTTTAATAGAGTTCATCATATTTGCACGCATGACACAAAAGACACAGAAGCAGAATTCCTGAGGGATACATTAGTGCTAAATGGATATACATTGAAATTCATCAACAAATGTAAAATAGGCACAACACTGACACCAACTAATCAGTAACCTTTCCTTTAGAAAAACATGTATATTACACTGCTAAAAAGGGGAGAATCGAACCGTTTAACCTTGAAGAAAAGGTTCAAAACAGCTATTAGCAGGACATACTGCGCGGCCAAGGTCATTTTGGTGGAGAAGATAAAGTCCATGTTTCAATACAAACCTAAACAGTATTTGAACGAGTGGATCACATTCCACTGTGTATATCAATTTACATGTATATGTGCACACACATACATAGGGAGGAGCAGTCGTGACATGCAGTTAAGAATGGCTGAACATGTGCCTAAATTACTACAGAAACAAATGACCCTTAACAGCTAAATAAGTGCAGGCAATAAACGTCCTACCTCTACGACAGCAAAATACATAGTAGAAACTGGTCGCAAGATTGATATGAAGACAGATTTTATTGTACTGTATAGATATGGTTGAGGATAGAGGACTTCCTATCCATAAATCCAAACCCCCTATACGTATTCAGAAATAATTTGTACTTACACCTAACCTACCCCGGCTATTGCAGCTCGGTGGTCTAGTGGATAACGCCCTGGCGTTTTAAGCGATCGGTCCCGAGTACCGGCGCGAACAGCATCATTCACCGGGAGGCAGGTACATCCAGCTGACGAGTCCCAAATAGGACGAGATGCACATCCTGGATTCCACTTATTATTATTATTATTTGTCCCTTGGGTTCCTAATGGAACATAGGGCTTCAGTAGCACGTCTCCAATGAACTCTGTTGTCTGCTACCTTTTGAACCTGGCTCCACGACTGCCCACAACCTCTCATTTCCCCCTCGCACGATCTCCTCCATCTCACCCTCGCCTCGGACGCCCAACTCGTCGCTTCCCATCGGGGTTCCACTCGAGGGCCTGGCCTGGCGCGTGATGTCCCCAGTCGGCCTTCTCAATGTATGCCACGTTCAATCCATCTCCACTTTTTTCTACATATTTGTTGGGTGATAGGTCCTTGGTTGGTTCGTTCCCAGAGTTCCTTGTTGCTTATTCCTTCTGGCCATCTGATCTTCAGTAACGAGCCAGTGTAGGCAGTTGTTGATGAATGTCTGTAGCTTGTTGGAAATCCCTTTCGTAACGCGCCAAGTCTCTGAACCATACAGGAGCACTGACTTGACTGAAGTTGGTGTTGAAAATTCGGATGTTGTTCACGCTTTGTGGTGAGTGCAGAAGATCTCCACACTGGTTTCAGGCAAATAAACTCCTGTCTTGCTTTTCCGATTCTGACTTTGACATCCTCGTCTGTCCCGCCTGTAGTTGAGGCCGTGCTACTTCCTTTTAGTTTCTCCCGTTGGTGGTGATTGCAGTTTCTTCTTCTTGTTGTTATTGTTATTATTGTTGTTGTTGTTGGTTGGATATCTTCATCACCTCTGTCTTCTCTACATTCACTTGAAGTCCCGTCTTCGCTACCTCTTCTGACAACTTGTTAGTTTTCGCCTGTAGATCTTAGAGTTTGTGTGACATCAGACACAAGTCATCGGCGAAATCCAAGTCTTCTAGGTTCTTTTCTGCGGTCCAGCGTATCCCCCTCTTCTCACAGCTCCTCACAGTTGTCTGCTGCATCATCCAGTCGACCACAATCAAGAATATCATAGGGGATAGTAGGCAACCTTGTTTCACTCCTGTCTTCACTTCAAAAGCATCACTCAGCTTCCCATTGTGAATTACTTGCCATGTGGCATCTTCATATAGCTAGTTGTTGAATGAGGCTGATAAAGGTTTGCGGTATTCCGTAGTGTTGAAGCAGGTTCCAAATTACCCCTCGGTCGACGCTGTCAAAGGCCTTTTCAAAGTCCATGAAGTTGAGGTAGAGATCCAGTTGACTGCCATTCTATACTTTGTTCTATGATGGTGTGAAGTGTTGCAATTTGGTCCGCACATGATTTGTACTTCCTGAATTCAGCCTGTTCTGGTCGTAGTTTGGAATCCAGCGCATCCTTTAGTCTCTTCAGGATGATGCGGCTTAATATTTTACTTGCCTGGGGTGGACAGATGCATGATTCCTCCCCAATTCTTACAAAGACTTAGGTCTCCCTTCTTTAGGATTCTGACAAGGTAGCCCTTCTTCCAATGAATGAGCAGATACCTTCCCTTCCTTCTAGACTTTCTGCAGTAGTGGTGTGAGCATGTCCGCTGTTGTCTGTCTCTGCATCTGTTCTCTGTGCTTCTGGTGGGATTCCATCTAGTCCTGGTGCTTTCCCGCATTTAGTAGCTTTATGGCGTTCAGGACTTCGACTTTTGTTGGAGGATTTATGTTCACTTGTAGTTCAGCGGCTGCAGGTGGTATTTCTGGACAAAGTGGAGGTGGTGGTCGATTCAAGAGCTTCTTGACGTGGTTGGCCCTATTGTTTCCTTTATTTCTCTTCTTTCGTAATTATGTAGCCTTTTATTACCATTTTCTAGGACTCTGTTAGAATACATAGATAACTGAAACTTCTTAGCATATCTTATTAACTCTATCTGAGTGTTATATTAATCTTGGTGACTAGCAGAGAAATCCAAGACGCGCATTTCGTCAGTTGGATGTAGCTGCACCACAGTGAGTGATCTTGTTCTAACTGAGGCTGGAACCCAGTACTCCTCGCTCCAAATGCCAGAGGGTTGTCCACTAAGTCACTAGGGCACGACAGCTACCTCTTGTGCAACGTGTAATTTCCCGTTTCTATGCAGGGCTGAATTGTTCGACCACTGTTGGCAAATGGCCTCATGTGCGGATGCCTCGATACTACCGGGTATTCTGGATGTATCTGGATGTTTTTTTTATTCTTTATTAAATCATGTCGTTTCCTGTTACTTAACATCATTTAAGCGGAAAAACGGTTCAAATTATTTTGTGGTATGATATTTAAATGTTTTAGGTTATTTTCAGGTGACAAAAGCCGGCGAAATAAAGTGGTATCACGTTATTCTGCTCCAATTGTTGTTCTTTCTCTATTCAAAAACATGATTGTTTTAAAAACAAATTTTAGTTTATTGATGGGATTAAACTTACGGCTGTGAATCACGGGTTATAAGCCTCTTTAATTTGACAGTATCAAGGTATAGATATCTATCTTAGTAGTGTGGCTAAGCCTACTACATGGACTTGTACGTAGTTCTTTATTTATACCTTACACTGAATTAGTGGTGCGAAATTGAAAATCGAATCGAGGCGGACTCGGAAACCTTGTAGACATCTGTGCAGTAGACGATCAGCCACATCTAGTGTATGAGGGCAGGAATGAAATTGCCTAGTTGACCAAACCATGGTGAGGTTGGGTTCGAACTCGTGACCCATTGATTAAAATTCATCTCCTTAAATCAATGAGCCACAGCTCCTAATTAGTGATGAGTATTGGAACGATTCAAATTTCATTAAAAAAAAGCAAATGAATTATTTACTCACCTTGAATATAGGAAACCGCCAATAACAACTGTGATCCCCAAAAATGTGACAATATCTTTGCCTAAATGTTCAGTGATTTTGTTTATACCACCACCACCAGGTAAACATTCATTAATTAAGACAATTGGTTCAGTTTTATTTGATTTCATCTCAGAGTTTGACGTTGATACCTTATCCCCTTTTGTACGAGAGAATTGATGCGACAATAAACGATTCAACTGATCAGCGACAACAACCAATGGATGAACAGTGAAATTTTGTTGAGCATCATTTAATTTTTTAACTGTTTGCCTTTGCCAAGGGAAATTCGACGATAAGACTAAAAGGTGTTTACAGAATAATTCATTTTAACATACATTGGTCGTTAAAAGATATTACAATGATAAATAGTTTATTGACAGCAAGTAATGCATGTCTAAACATGCAAACAAACTGCTTTAGTTGGCATTCATCATGGACTGACATCCGTTGAAGGAACATTGGAAACTTGGAAGCACTGAACAGCTGTTTCGTCTTCAGCAGTGCGCACTCATGACCCCGCAAGGGACCATGGACGCGTACTGCTGAAAAGTCTCGTACTAGAATGAAACAGCTGTCCAGTACTCCCAGGTTTCCAATGTTCCTTCAATGGATGTCAATCCATGATGAATATCAGCTTGGAAAATCACTTACTCCCCACAAACCCCCAAACTCCATTAGGTCGATTGCTATACGGATCATCTCTCAGTTTAAATAAGATCTGAAATATCACTCAGCTCATGGATGATTTACTGGTGAGTAACCTAACTTAGTACGACTTTAACACTGACAGAGATGCTTGAAGCTAATGTATACTGCATGAATGCGCCAGGCAAGTATGTCATTTATCTGATAATCATTCGATCTCTTTTTACACTGTGATAGCAAAAACTGGTTATTTTCTGGAATATTCGCCAAGTTGTTATGTTGTAAGTAGCAGCCTTTACTTGAGCTGGTTAAACCAAGTTGTAATCTGCTGCCGACACTTGAGTCACAAACCAAATGACCTTGATTGAAGAAATATGAATCGATAAATTTAGAGGTGACATAACCATATGTTTGTTGGTGAGTCTATTGATTAAATACGGTTTACAGCAATGAATCAATCAGTCTCAACAAATGGATTTGTAGCTCAAGGGTTTAGAGAGATGACTTTGAACCAGTGGGTCATGGGTTCGAACAACTCAACCAAGTAGTATCATAAGCCATCACGTATTGAATGCGGCCGATTTTCCCTAATGCACGGATGTGCACAAGATAGCTGGTGAGTGGAGTTCAACTTTTCTGATTCGAGTCCCAACAACTTACTGTGATTGTATTCATTTAACAGTGTAAGAATGGAACGTGAATTCTCCACTATATGAAGGATAAGTAAACATGTAAGAATTACTTCGATGCTTCTAATGACACTCTAGTTTTGCAGATGTACCACGGACATGGAATATGCTGATCCATTGACTCAGTGATAACTTTCTCACCAAGAGGTTCTCACTTAATGATTTTGATGATGTAAGAATAAATCTAAACGACTGACCAACGCTATCTGACTTTAAGCTTGAAATGTCATCAATAAGTTAACTAAACAAACATCTTCTCAATGCACTTTATTTCATTAAACATGTTTAGGAGCAGGTAACAGTAAATATTCTTAACTCAGGTTTCAGATTTTAGGCACAACTTAGAAAAGCATCTACGTAGCTCTAAGGAGGGTAACAGATGTTCATGATCCCAGACGCATATCATTCAACACCTCAGCTAGACGTATAACTACTGCTGAACTATTTGAACGCAAACAACTTTTTGACACGAAACTGTTCCCGAAAACACTTTGTCTCAAAGAAAACAACAAACAACCAAATTCAAAGAAGTGAACAACTTCATTAGTGATCTGAAAGGATAAAGTTGGTTTTTCATGGAGAAATTCGATAGATATTCTAAAACTTTCAGTAGTTTGACTGTATATAACTGTATGCTGATATACATTGCGGTAAGGTTTATGCATCGGTTCAAGTTGCCACACTTCACAGTAACACGCAAAGAAAAAAGTGGATACAAAAAGCTGATATCAAAGTAAACAAAGGTGTACGAGAAGAGCAGTTTAAAAATAAAGCTTTTGAAGACATCAGAGAATAAATACATCTGCTCCACTGTGAACGATTTTCAGTCATGTTACTAAGGGTCTTCAACCATCGGTTCTCGTCGCCTCGAGGACCTCAGTCAGGTAGTCTATAACTTCCTACATAGCTCACACCAACAATCAGAGAAATCATGGACTGATATCACGTCTTCTTTCGGTAGCCCTGACCCTTCTTCCATTCCAGTCCTGATTCAACAGGTACTTTACGTCAAGGTAAGCGGTTTCATGGCATGCACAACATATGTCCAAGTTACTTCAGTCACTGAGAGTTCACACGCTCATCGACTGACTTGTGTGCTTTGACTATTATCCTATACCTAAAGTCCACACTAGTCATTCGGTGTGCAATCCTGTTAAGACACCAGTCGGTTGCAGAGGTGACGTAGGTTAGTAAATGTCAAATGAGCCTTGTACATCCAAGCTGAGATTTCGTCAGCAACCAGCCCCTTCAAAGTGATGCAGCCTTCCAAGAAGGTGAGGCGGTCAACTAATTCGACCACATCAATGCCTACCCTTAAACTGTGCGTATGAGTGTAGAACGTGAACACTGTAGTAGAATAATTTATTTGATATAACACTTACTAACTTGATATTTTTATTTAAGTTCGATTTTCAATTTCGGCTATAGTCAATCCTTAATAGTATTGAAGCCTTTTCACAATCAGATTGGAAATAAATTAATAAAGTTGCACAGAAATGGTTCTACAGTATAAAAGCCATGAAAATAGATCACAGTTTATAACTTCGAATAAATATTCTTGTCCAAAGAAATCTGATCAGCAGTTGAACCTCGTAACTCAGCTGGTAGAGCATTGGGCAGTAAACCCGGTGGTCATTGGTTCGAACCCGGCCGTGGGTCAACATTTGACTTCCGCTTCAATCCTCACCCAGTATGAATGTTAGTCTGCCAAACCATAGCTATCTCAGACAGTCAATATGATGCTCTCCCTCCCCCCCCCTCTAATTCTGTTGCATTTGAATTGGGATGAGAAGTCTTGACCAGGCAGTCAGTGTGAATACTATCAAGCAGTAGTAAACGCGTCACAAATTCACACGGTGATTGGGAAAAAAACCCTTGGTGATTGAAGTGATACAAAAAAATCTGGTCAGCAGTCGGACTCCGTAGCTCAGTTGGTAGAGCGTCGAGCCGGGAAACCTGGTGGTGGTTGGTTCGAATTCGGCCGTGGTCCGAATTTTCATTTCACTTTCAATCATCACCTGGTGGACTGGATCATGCAACAAACGGTGGAGAGCGAGGAGATGGGCATACGCTAGCTGCACCGATGAAAAGACACTACAAGATTGGATTTCACTCATGATGATTTATGTCTAATGTCTTCTGGCATTAACTCGAAGATCTACAGGCGAAAACTAACAAGTTGACTGAAGAAGCAACGATGACGGGTCTTCCTTCAGGTGGACATAGAGAAGACAGAGGAGATGAAGATACCCAACCAACAGAAGCATCAACGACAAGCACCAATCATCATCAAGGGAGAAATTTAAAGGAAGTAGTCTCTTTCACCTACCTACCTAGGCAAGAAAGCATCATTTCAACAAAGAACCCATCACCCAACAAATATTCAGAAGAAAGTGGAGGTGGATTGGATTGGGCATACACTGAGGAGATGGTTTGGTGACATCACGCGTCAGGCCCTCAAGAGGAATGCAAAGGGGAAACAACGAGTTGGGCGTTCGAATAGAGGGTGACAGGGAGGAGATTTTGTGAGAAAGAAATGAGAGCTTGTGGGCAGTTGTGGAGCCAGGTTCAAAAGACTGCAGAGAATAGAGTGCAATGGCGACGTGATACTGAAGCCCTATGTTCTACTAGGATCCCAAAAGACGAATAATAATAATATGATTCAATCATCCCCCAGTATAAAAAAGTGATACTATTCAGTAGTAACTTGTTTGTTTAAAAACTGCTGAACAGTAGTAGGAGATAAAGCTCATCCATCCATCACTGAACAGCTTGAAGACAAGATTTCAATTTGTCACGAAAAATAAATTAAACATTGATTGACACATCACTGTAGTAAAATGTGCTCAAACTCATTCAAAGCTTAATGTGCATTATTTTAATGATGAACTTACTCCTTGGTTGACTTCCTAAAGCTGACCAAGTTAAAAATGCTACAAATGCAGAAGTGATTGCACCGGGTAGCCACATTTGCCCTCTTCGTACTTGAAAATACAAAGGATAAGAGGGTTAATGAGTTAATACAAGATATTTATAAATAACTAGTAGTGTATACACATGTGAAAAGGTTAACTCAAGCTTATTAACCACTTTACACCATTTGAAGAAATCAGATAACGAAAACAACTCATTAACAATAAACATGGTTCATACAAGAAGCTATACATCAAGCATATTATATGGAAATATGTGATATTACTCAGTAAAAGATGTGAAGAATGCAATTGTAGAATTTACTTGTACTTTTTAATTTTGAAACCAGTCTGGGTGTGAATATGTCACGATGTGCTTAATTGTCAACAGATTATAAGGAGTTTTTCTTAATTAACAAATATGACCAGTAGAATTCAAGGAGTCGATTAAAACTATGCCGAAGGCAATTAGGAAACGTTAATATGACCAGTTGTAGTAATTAATGATTTCACCTCCTGTTAAGAATTTTATCCATCGGTTTCAAATGACTACATTTTAGTAGTTTATATGATTTTTGAGAAAAATGCAATAAAAGAATGCAGTGAAACAAGTGATAGATCTCATATGCACTGAGTGCATTTTGTATTATATGAATGTAAAGTACTTTTGTAAGATTGGTTAGCATGATATTATGCCTTTTAACAACATTGTGTGAGATTTTGGAAATTCTGCACCTCACAATTCCTGTTTGAATGGTGATTGAAATGAAGTTTAAACAAATAACACTTCAAAGTTTGGGATTTTGGTCTGTGAATACGTAGGACAGTCTGCCAGCGAAATCATTGTCGAGGACTGTTTGTTCTGTTTTTATACAGAAATATGATGGAAATTGTGATAAGCTTAAGAAATTTCAACGCAGAATACGATATACTTTCTTTAACGTGATAGCTTGAAGTGAAACAAAATATCATGGGTAGATTTCAGTAAACCATTCGATTAACTACCTTGGCTTAGTGTCTTCCATTTGAGTCTGGATCTAAGCCAGTAATAAAAAATCCATGAAAGCTCTTTTGACGTCAATCTGTAACTGTTTTCATTTGATTGCTTACTTCCAACATCAACAATAATGTAATTTTTTAAGTCTGAAAGCAAATTGAAGTCTTGACAGAACTCAACACAGTGGTCTTCATGTTTTTTTGCACCACACACTATCAATCCAGAAAAGGGTTACAAGTGCTAACTTGGTTTCAATACCATTTCATTAGAGCACAAAGTCAACAGACAGAAGACTAAAGAATCAACTCTTCCTACCACACAGATTTTTTTCCAACCTCAGCCATCTGTCAACTAAGTCTACTTCATACAGCCTAGTCAGCAATACACAAAAGTTTTTAAATGTGAAATCAGCATGCGTATATTTAAGACTTAAAGTGTTTTAAACAACCAGATGAATACACTTCATTGTAAAGTTCTGACTAGGCTTGCGCTAAAAGGGTTTATAACATTAACTAAGTATCTTTAACGCAGCCTCTAAAAATTGAATGAATACGACTGACTATTACAATCACTCAACCTCGCCTGGTTAACTAGTTTACTAGTTACTAGCCGGTCCTAAGCCCGGGTAAAGAGGGAAGGTTGGGCATAGGGCTAGCAACCCTACCCCGTAAAACAAATCTAACCGCTAAAGAAACTTCAAAGCACAAACAAAATATAAAAAATGAAAACAAACTTATTCCCCGCTGGAATCGGAGAGGCGAAATGACGCCAGTTGGTGAAAGCCTTCGGGAAGCCAATTGGCCGATGTGTCTTCTCTCGATGAAAGCGAAAGTAAACGTGGGGACATGGAATGTCCGACGATGTTTGAACCCAGTAAGGCAGCCCAGATTGCAAAGGAGATGAGAAGGTATAACATCGAAGTGCTTGGGATTTGCGAAAGCAGATGGAATGGGAGTGGACTCTCCAAACTGTCAACTGGAGAATCAATAATCTACTCCGGTCACCCAGACGCCAACCACGAGCACACTGAGGGAGTGGCTATCATGATGTCCTCAAGAGCATCGAAGGCTCTCATGCAGTGGGAACCAATCTCCTCCAGGATCATGACAGCAAGATTCAACTCAAAAGGAAGAAAGGTCACAATCATACAATGTTATGCACCTACAAATAATGCAGAGCAAGAGAAAAAGGAGGAATTCTACAGACAACTTCAATCAACACTGGACAAGACGTCAGTTGGCGATATCAAAATTCTAATGGGCGACATGAATGCCAAACTGGGAGGGGACAACACGGAAGAGAACTAACCATGGGTCGAGAGGCGCTAGGTGAAATGAATGAGAATGGAGAATTGTTTGCAGAATTCTGTGCATTCAACGATTTGGTGATTGGAGGCAGTGTGTTCAGGCACAAGGATATCCACAAAGCGACATGGACTTCACCAGATGGACACACTAAAAATCAAATCGACTTTATCTCAATCTCAAGAAAATGGAGACGCAGTCTACTTAACACAAGGTCAAGAAGAGGAGCAGATGTAGGTTCAGACCACTATCTAGTGCAAGGAACCTTCCAAATCAAGTTAAAAGCCTTCAAGGAAGCTGGTGATAGACCTCAATTCAAGTACAACACTCGGAAACTGAAGGATGAAACTACAAAGGAGATCTTCAAGCAGCCATCAAGACAAAATGGGAGACATCGAGGGACATCCCTGAAGAAACCTGTGTGGAAGAACACTGGAAGTCTTTGAAAGCTATGTGGAAAGAAACCTGCACAACAGTATTAGGAAGGAAGAAGAAAGAAGACAAGGAATGGATCTCGACGGATACCTGGAAGCTGATAGAGGAGAGGAGGATGGTGAAGCAGAAGATAAACCAGTGCAAGGATGCTCAACGACAAGAGGAACTGAGCACAATGTATAAAACACTGGACAAAGAAGTGAAGAAGAGTGCACGCAAAGACAAAAGACACTTCTACGAAACACTGGCAAGTGAAGCAGAACAGGCTGCAGGTAAGAGAGACCTGACGACATTGTATCAAATAACCAGGTTGCTATCAGGGAAGAGACCAACACAGATGAAACCAATAAAAGATGAAGAAGGAAATTTAATTACAAAAGAAGAGAAACAGAGGAAACGATGGGCCGACCACTTCAAGAAGCTCTTGAATCGACCACCACCTGCACTCCGTCCAGAAATACCACCTGCAGCCGCTGAATTACAAGTGAACATTAATCCCCCAACGAAAATGGAAGTCCTGAACGCCATAAAGCTACTGAAATGCGGGAAAGCAGCAGGACCAGATGGAATCCCACCAGAAGCACTGAGAACAGATGCAGAGACAACAGCGGACATGCTCACACCACTATTGCAGAAGGTGTGGAAGGAAGAGAAGGTACCGGACGATTGGAAGAAGGGTTACCTTGTCAAACTGCCGAAGAAGGGAGACCTCAGTGCTTGCAAGAACTGGCGCGGAATCACTCTCCTGTCCACCCCAAGTAAAATATTAAGCCGCATCATCCTGGAGAGGCTTAAAGACGCACTGGATTCAAAACTGCGACCGGAACAGGCAGGCTTCAGGAAGTACAAATCATGTGCTGACCAAATTGCAACACTTCGTATCATCATAGAACAGAGCGTAGAATGGCAATCAGCTCTCTACCTCAACTTCATCGACTTTGAGAAGGCCTTTGACAGCGTCGACCGAGAAGTAATTTGGAAACTGCTTCAATACTACGGAGTACCGCAAACCTTTATCCGCCTCATTCAACAACTATATGAAGATGCCACATGCCAAGTAATCCACAATGGGAAGCTCAGTGATGCCTTTGAAGTGAAGACAGGAGTGAAACAAGGTTGCCTACTATCCCCCATGATATTCCTTATTGTGGTGGACTGGATCATGCAGCAAACAGTAGGCAGCGAGAAGAGGGGGATACACTGGACGACGGAAAAGAACCTAGAAGACTTGGATTTCGCCGATGACTTATGCCTAATGTCACATAAACTTGAAGATCTGCAGGCAAAAACTAACAAGTTGACAGAAGAGGCAGCCAAGACGGGACTTCAGGTGAATATAGAGAAGACAGAAGTGATGAAGATACCGCACCACCACCATCAACAACAACAACAACAACAAACTCCAATCACCGTCAACGGGAGAAACTTGAAGGAAGTAACCTCCTTCACTTATCTAGGAAGCACTGTTTCAACTACAGGCGGGACGGACGAGGACGTCAAAGTCAGAATCGGAAAAGCAAGACAGGCGTTCATTAGCCTGAAACCAGTGTGGAGATCTTCTGCACTCAGCATCTGGAACAAGATACGGATTTTCAACACCAACGTCAAGTCAGTGCTCTTGTATGGCTCAGAGACTTGGCGCGTCACGAAAGGGATTTCCAATAAACTACAGACATTCATCAACAACTGCTTACGCTCGCTGCTGAAGATCAGATGGCCAGAAAAAATAAGCAACAAGGAACTCTGGGAACGAACCAACCAAGAACCTATCACGCAACAAATATGCAGGAGGAAGTGGAGATGGATTGGCCATGCACTGAGAAGGCCGACTGAGGACATCACGCGTCAGGCCCTCGAGTGGAATCCCCATGGGAAGCGACGAGTTGGACGTCCGAGGGTGACATGGAGGAGGTCATGCGAGGAGGAAATGAGAGCTTCTGGGCTGTCGTGGAACCAGGTTCAAAAGATCTCAGAGAACAGAGGTCACTGGAGGCGTGCTACTGAAGCCCTATGTTCCACTAGGAACCCAAGGGACTAATAATAATATAATATTACAATCACTCAAATGACATTTAGCATGCTTGACTAAGTCCCCAAATTCCAGAACACTACTCTATATCGCTCTTAATGTACAACTAAAGTGCATCCATCACCTCATTTAAAACTTGTGATTTCTTCAAGATAATGAAGTCACTCAACAAAACGATAACGAAGCGAATGTGAAACCTTTTTACAGTAGATTTGTGACTTTTCAGTGCTAAAAAACAAATACGTAGTGGCATAGATGGTAATTCAGTGGAAAGGACTTACACAAAGAATAATACTTGGACATTTGG